GTAGCAACATTTGCTGGCGTTGGGTTGCTATCGCGGGGAATCCTTGCCAGAAAGAGCTGGGGATTTCCCATTGTGTTTGTTTACGTTACTTTCACGATTCTCAACGGCTAGCCAATCAAAGTATCGCAGTAAAGTATCCAGTAAATAATGGAGTTAAAACTCGAATATTAAATATTAATCTCAGGACATTCTTTACACTTTGCGGTTGTCATAGCTGGAATCTGCTGTCGGTAGACGCAGTTAATTCTTCTGTGACAGCAAAAACATTTTTTGGTTTAATTCAGAAAATTTATTTGCTATCTTCAAGTTCCAGCAAACGCTGGGAATTAATCAAAGGCAAATTAAAGCTTACTACGAAGCCTTTATCAGACACAAGGGGAGAAAGCAGAATCGAGGCAGTGAAGGCCGTATTATTGCAATTTGATGTTGAATGCATCGAAAGCTTAAAAAATCAAACGGAACAATCAGACACACTCAGTGATTGTGATTCGGTTTTAAAGGAAATGATCCGTTTAGAATTTATCATATCGTTACATGTATGGTATGAGATATTATCGCGTGTTAATATCATAAGCAAATCTTTACAAGTCCATTTAAGCAATGCTCTTGAACATTTGCGTACGTTTTGTGACTGGATCAAAGAATATCGACAAACTGGATTCGAAAAATGCTTGTCTGATGCTCGTCAATTTATTGAGAATAGCAGTTATGAACTGCCAAAAGACTTTAAAAACGAAAGGGTAGCCGAAAAGAAAAGGATGTTCGATGATGAAGGCAGCGATCAACCTATACAGTCTCCCGAAAGCGGGTATGAAACAGATTTTTTTAACACCACGATTGATTCTATAATAAGCAATATGGATTCGGAATTTATGTCTTTAAATCAACATTTTGAAAATTTTGGTTTTTTCTACGATCTAAGGAGTTAAAAAATATTTCAAAAGAGCAAATATTAAAAAACTGTCAAGATTTACATTCAGTCCTGAGAGTGAGTGAGAGCAGTGACTTACAACCTTACGAATTATATGAAGAATTACAAACAATGATCCCAAATTTATCCAATTTCATTAAAGATGTGAAACAGCTGCTCCAATACATAACAGAAAATAACTTGAAAGAAATTTACCCAAATATTTACATTGCCGTTCGAATTTTTTTAACAATACCGGTAAGTACTGCCTACGCTGAAAGGAGCTTTTCAATATTAAAACTAATAAAAAATTATTTAAGAAATCCAATGGGTCAGGAAAGACTTTCAGGTTTGGCAGTTTTATCTATTGAAGCATATATAGGCCTAGTATCTAAGCTGAATTACGATACAATTATTAAGGAGTTCATAAGACTAAAAGCAGGAAATTTCTGTTTCTTTAATTTTTTTTTCTTTTTAATTTTTCTTTAATGTTAGTTAAAGACTATAGTTTGCATTTTTAGGAATCAAAATTTGACAGTTTCGACTGCTTTTTATTTTATAAAATCCGTCTTCTTGCGCCAACAGAAGGCCTCGCGAAATGTACCTTGCCCACATCAAATTTAGGTCTTACCCCGCCGCTGGGCTGCTAGCTGTATAACAGAAATCCAAGAAGACAGCAGGACATCTTTGATAAATCCATCAGGGCCTCTTTGGTAAAGTTAGTAGGTCTCCTTTATATAGTCAGCAGGGTATCTTTGATAGAACCAGCAGGCAGTGCCGTATCTAGGCAGGTGCAACAGATGCACCCGCACAGGGCCCACTTGAAAGGGGGACCCAAAATGCATGTATTTATTTTATTATTTTCCCAAACTAATTATTAAGGGGCCTAAGTGCAAATTCTTGCACAGGGTACAGGAATGGCTAGTTACGGCACTGCCAGCAGGTATATTTGATAGAGCCAGCAGGGTCTCTTTGGTAAAACTAGCAGGGCCTCTTTGGTAAAACTAGCAGGGCCTCTTTGATAAAACTAGCAGGGCCTCTTTAAGAGTCAGCAAAGTCTATTTGATAGAGCCAGTAGGGCCATTTGACCAGACTTTATTTTAGGGGCCACGGAGTAATATGGCCCTACATTTTCTGATAGGATCAAATATAGAGGAAAAGGTGGTATTATGGAACCCCTCCATTTCAAACTGATAATAAAGGCGAACCNTTTATTTTCTTTTTAATACTTTAATTTTTATTTCTGAAGAAGGCAATTATTGAATTAATAATATAAGTAATTTTGTAAAATCTTTATATTAAAAGTTTTATAACCAGCTCTGGAGCAACTTCTGAAGTATTTACTCGTAATAATTATATAGACTGTAGCTTTGAATTATTAATGGTTCATTTTCAAACATGTAAACTTCTATATTCTTATTGAATCTACATTCTTATTCATCAGGACAAAAAGTAAGTTAATAGTTATAATAATTGTAGATTAATTGAGATGAAATGTTCTTCAAGACCCAAATGTGTCACATCACAGTGAACTTTCTTTTAAATAAAATAACAAATTGATTTAAACACAGAACATCATTTATATTTTGTATTCAATTTCAATTTAGAAACTCAGTACAGAAAACTAGGAATTTAAAAAGAATAAACTTATTTAGCATGTTTTTGTCATGATAATAAGGTAGAGCCTCAATTATCTGCGTCCCAATTAACAAGATTTTGCACTAAAAAAGACAAACCTGTAATCAAAAATACTACTTAAATGATAACACCTTTTACAAAATGATTTGTTTCTGTTACCTTTTATCATTTAGCTTCAATGTATGACAAACCATTCATGTTAAAATGCAACTACAATAACATATACTTTTATTCTTAAAACTATTATTATTTTAAACGTAAAACCATTCTTAAGCATATTAGCTGAAATAAATGATGTAAAAAAATATCCTTATATATGATTAAATTCACTATAAAAAGAGGCTTAAGTGATAAACTGCATAAATGTTTTGTATTTGTAATTTTTAATCCGAAATTGCCTTCACTGTCCATTTTATCTGAGATTTACTTTTCCAGCTGTTATATATACATAAGAGAAAATATTGAAATTGTGACAAATTTGACCCTGGTTTCTTCAGACCTCCTAAACCCAAAAACGTAAAATTAAAAAAAAAATTCTATGGATGTTTACATGTGTTCGCATCTGTTTTCTTCAATATCTCAGGATTGAGTAAAGATTAATAAATTATATTTGACACAGTAGTTCATGTATAAGAGGCATTGATGCTATTAAATTTTGGTTGAGAAAGGTTGAGGAGATAAAGAGATAGAAGTTGGTCATGTATCAAATCTCGCATGGTATCAGACTTAATGAAGATTTTACTTATTGTTAGTTAGCATTTACAATTTTTTATAAAATTGTAATGCTAATAATGTAATGCAGATGATACCTCGTGCAGTTTTAAATATTGTTGCCAGGTAAATTATGCAACTTGTTTTTGGATTTTTGTGAGTAGTTTTATATTTTTGAAATCAATAAAGTAAATTGCAAAAAGAAGCCAAGACTTATTTTACTTTAAACAAGAAAGTGTAAGTTCTAGTTTGAAGAAATAGAAACACCTGCCTATAGTTTTCAGAGAATTTTCTATTTGAGAAGTGTCTCTTGAAGAGGATGAAAATGTTAGTATTATTAAGAAAATACTTGCTAGAAGAAATGTTAAAGCACTAGGTAATTATTAGTTATCTCAGTTCCAGCTTCTGGGATGTCTTTAAATTTTGTATTTTTTTTTTTTTTAATTTATTCAATCTCAGCTACAACCAATATGCCAGTGAATGGTTTAATAATCTTTCACTGAAACATCTAGCAATATAATAAGCAGGCAGAAACAGTGCTATATTGGCATTTGCAGGCTTATTTTGTCAAAATAACTTTTGGTTAATACAGATTAGTAGTAAAAAAACATTAAGTTTAATAATATAACTATAGAGATGGCCATATTGCTTTGTCACAGCTCACCATATCCACAGTCCAATCAGTGCAATGCACGTCAGTCACTACACCGACAAATTTGTCAGTGAATATTGGAACATATTTTAGTACAGTACTCTTCATCAATATGCAATTAGATGCATATTGGAATGTACACTATGTCCCTGAAAGCCTGGCATTTGGGCATCTGGCAAGTGAGTGATAAGGGATGGGCCAAACACATCCAGAGCAGACAACCCATGAAAAATTCTCAGGGTTTCTTGTCTGGATTTGATCCTAAATCCCCCAAAGTGATAAGACATGCCTTAACCACCTCAACCATCTGGCCACAATAAGTACTTTCAACATAGCAACATTGTAATAAAAAACTAAATGTACGTAATTTAGTTTTTTAAAATAATTTATATTTCCAAACATGTACCAGTGACACTCTAAAGCTCTCAGATTGTTAATATTTAAAGATTTCATTCAAATAAAAGGTAAGATGGGAACTCTGAACGAAGTATTTGCTATCCCTCATACAAACAAACAAGTCAAAGGAACCACACTCATACATGCAATCCTTCACGAGATCGCCTCCAAGGATCAGTTTTTCCCACGTACCAGTACTACTGTCTATTCTCCACGCTCTGCATCAGTTGAGAATCACCATCACTTGCCTCAACCGACACTCCATACGTAATTGGGCACCAAGGTGCAAACATGCTTGCACCTCGGGCAGTGTGGTGGGCTCGCCCCCACACAGGTGCCAAACCTATACGGTTCGAGTCCACCACATCACCTGAAACTATATAATATCAAGTACTCCACAAACAGTTATGTGGACCACTCAAAACAGGCATAGTCGCACAGGCCAAATAGTTAAACGCAACAGTCAGCAGAGCTACACAACTTCTGGAATTAGGCCAATTTCGAGGGTTCACATCTCGCCAAGAGTCGCATGTAAAGATACAGTTCCTTTGACTTTTTTGCTCCTATGGGAATGGTCAACAGCTCTGTTAAGGTTCCAACAGTCTCATTCAGAGGCGTAACTGTACCCAAATGAAGTATAATCTATTATTATTTAAATAATAAAAGTTGCAACAACCAAAGTTTCATGTTTACCTTATCACCTCTAAACATGGTCCATATCACAGGTTCAACTAAATAGTCTTTCCTTTTATCACCAGGAAGATTATCTCTTTTAAATTCATCGGTCCATACTCTGTGCATATCGTAATACAATTTGTCTTCGTCCCTCTTGATGATCTTCTGACGGTATTGAGGACCGGGAGGAGGTTTCCAATCTATCCATTCCGTGCATCTTTTTATGTATCGCTCGGGAAAATTTGAATAGTCTTTCGGTAATTTAGATGCACAAAACAATAATCTCGTTAGTTTCATTACTCGACTGCCAAGCTTTCGATTTCAAAACAATTTTAACGAACCGACGACACAGATTTTAAACTAAAAACAAGCGGCCATTTTGAAATCGCTACAGTGTTGCCAAATCGTTAAAAACTATTCTAGAAATTTGAGTTCGAGATTATAGTAATTATAGGCGCGTTCAGTAAATAAATTTGGGTGATGGCCGGGTGGTGCTATCGATCTGACGGGGCCGAAATCGAATCCGGACGGATCGGAAAAATCTCATGAATTTTTTGGTGGGAAGACCGTCCGGATGTGCCTAGCCCCGTTCTTCACTATCTGGCCGAACGCATAATGGGCTTGTTTAAAATGCCTTCTTAGTGCCCACAGGGCGGAAAGAATTAAAAAGAAACATTTGGATGTCATTACCAGTTTTTTAACCACACGGCAAATGCATAATATAATATAATTATAATATAGCAAGAATTACTGAACGATTAGTACGTGTTTTCAAAATGTCGGAAAAGCGACTCTTACAAAGTCTCGCTACGCTACTATTCCAAAAGAAGAATCCAAGATTGTTTAATATTTATATGACACTCGTGCGTTTTCAATTCTCTAAAATAATACTTCATCTAAAAGTAAAGGAAATTCGTACTCTTCATTATAAAATTGGTCACATAAGAGTAGTCATATTGTTACTTTGATAGAAAACTGACTTGTGAGTCTAAACACAGTGCACTTAGTTCATTTACTGAACTGAGTATGCACATTGAAGTACGAGTATGAAAAACGCGTAAAACGGTGCCAGTTATATCCGGATCGATCCACGAAAATTTCTGAGCTGACTCGTAATCGAACGTAAATTCCTGAGAGTCAGGCGAACTACAGAGTTTCCTAATATTGGGCCTTTATAATATACAGTGTCACACGTAAAACCGAGCCCATTCACCAATTGAGTAAATTCTTATCATCTTCATATCGGAAAAAAAAAATTTAGTTTTATTCACAAAACATAATGGAAACTTACAAAAGATGCTGGAATTAGCATTTGTTCGTCTGCGCAATTTTCTAAGAGGTGCAACCACACTTTAAACAATCTTACATAGAACATTGATATGGATAACCTAGATGCTTTTGCAAATGTTTTCCTTCAGCTCGTCTATCGTTCTGAAATGGTGCTCGTACACTTTTTCTTTAAAATAGATAAAAATCAGATGACGGTGAGTATGTGCAAGCCTAAGCAAACAGGGCACAGCGACAATCTTTGCTTATCGTGCATTCCTCCGTGAATGTTTCGGATATAACGGATTTTCCCGTATTCCGTAGTACAGAGATTGGTGTGGTATGTGGCGCCATCTTGTCGAAGAAAAATTTCTTGCTGGTATGCCGTCTACTTGGTAATAGACGTTTCGAAAAATCCGAAAATAAAAGTTTGTTGTTTACATTGACACAGAACATCGAGCCGGTGATTTGGCTGCTCCTAGACTCTGAACACTACGATTTTCTGATCACGAAGTTCATTCTTATGCAAAATGTGAGGATTTTTGGCAAATCAGTAAAGAGTGTTCTGGACATTCATAATTTCATGTGATAAAAAAAAACGGAAGCATTCTTCTTCTGTCACGAAATACAGCAGGGGATCAAAACTTTCAATTATCAGTATTTAGTGGTTTTATCCACTCTGCCATTGGTGGGAGACTTCAGAAAAAAGCTAAAATTTTAAAAAGTAATAGTTACTCAGGCAGGACTAAGTAAACATTATTATTACATATTACAATGTACTGTATTTAGTACTAATAATTCTGAATTTAATACATGTTTCATTTTTGGATCTTTCTGTCCTGTGGTCAGAAGCAGGATCTTTTTCCAAACCCATCGTGGGCCTGGCTCCCGAAACTCAACGTATTCGGGATAGATCGCACACGAAAGCTTTCTAGTTTGCATACTTGGATTCGATCCTGTATACTAGAGCGGAAGGACAACGCCTTAACCAACTTGGGTAAGCCGTCTGAAGGAATAATTACTTTAATGCATTTCTCTAACAAATAAGTTATGCATATTTTATGAATGCTTTGTTTTTCTGACGTAATCTGCACAGTATGTGATCTTTATTTATGTAATGTAATTTAGCTTCCTTTACGAAAAACATAGAGCCGCTTTATATTTTATATAGTTGCTTCTATGGCTGTAAAGAATAGCAATAAGATTATAAAACAAGACTTTTAGGTGTATAACAAAATAAAAATATGATTAGCATGGAACTACAAAATTCGATTTTAATGGGAGAAAGTAACTATATTGTTTACCTATTTTTATTACATACTCTAAAATATTTTATCCGTGTACAAATGTTTATTGTTCAAAACATTTCTTGTGTATAAAAATACAAGAAAAATAATTAAATTTACAAATGCTTTCATTGAATGCGCTTGATGGCCAAAGACGTCAGTCTATCGATCTGGAGGATCCTAGTTTGGGTCCCGACAGGTTCAAATTTTCGTGAATAGGTTGATCCCGATGTTTCCGGTCCATCCTTCACTTTCCGTTTCTCTTGATTTAATCCACAATGGACATGGTAGAAAGTTTTCTTAACCAACTTGTACTCGTGTACAAGGTATTTTATAGGTAGGATTTAGCTGCTGGATTTACTGTATTCTAACCTAACCATTAGTAATCCGGCAAAATCACTTATTCGGCATCCTATAGATTCCAATGATGCCGGATTATTGATTAACCTGTAAGTTTTAAATAATAAAAATGTTGATAGAAACTAAAATAATTATACAAGGAATACAACGAAATGAATGGTTTTAACATACTTTTGAAGCACTGTAAATGTGAGGGTGAAACAAATAACCATACTAACACACTACACTCACACATTCATACTCATATGCCATCGCTCACACTCACGCAAGCACAAATCGCTCACGCTCACACACGCGAAAAATATTGCACTGACATTAAAACTCACGCTAAAATTGTTCCCTATTCTTATTTAAAATATGCAGAAACAGAGAAAATTTTAAGCTGGTTTTATTTTATTGATCAACGTAAGAATAGTAGACCCCCCTATAACACTGTTGATAATTCCGTGTTATATGAATTCCATGTTGTACGAGTCACTTAGATTTTACAAATACGTGTGCCAGGCAGTGAACGGCTCACGTATTTGTAAAATCTAAGTGACTCGTACAACATGGAATTCATATAAAACGGAATTATCAACAGTGTTATGGGGGG